CACCCGCGGGAGTCGCTGGCGCGGCAGCCACAAGTGAGGCGGTTGACAGAGCCAGGCCCCGCCGCGCTTCTGCCTCTCGCAGGCTGTGTCCTTCGCTGCGGTGCCTGCGCTTCGCAGCGCCCAGTCCTTGCAGCCCGAGTGACCTGCCATCACTCGGAGCAAAAAGGATCTTCGAGGATTGGGCCACTGACCTCACTCTTGGGGCGGAAAAAAGTGGGGCTGGGGTGTGGATAGCTGAAGTCTGTACGTTAGTTGCGGGCTGGTGGGGTGGGGTTACAGGAGTTTAATTACTAGAGTGCAGAGGAGTCCTGGATTTATTTGCACATCTCTCTGCAAGTGGACCTTTGCTCCACCCCTGCCGCGGTACCTCGCACAGTACCTAGCGCGAGCCCAGGCGTCCTGGGACTCCCAGACTCAGCCAGAGCCGCACTCCCGTGTGATTCCCGATTTTCAATGCCCCCAGCCTCCCCCCCCCACCTCCCTTGGGGAAGCTACCTTGGTTAACTTTGCCCCTCGCTGCAGCACGCGTCGCTCTCCCTCCCGGCAGGTGACGGCAGAGTCCCGCTGTAAGCTGCTCAGTTGGCTGCTACCCGTCCACCGCCAGTTCGGCCTCTCATTCGAGTCTCTGTGCCTGACGGTGAACACTCTGGACCGCTTCCTCCTCACCACCCCGGTAGCTGCGGACTGCTTCCAGCTGCTCGGGGTCACCTGTCTGCTCATCGCTTGCAAACAGGTACAGGCGTACAGGGTGGGATGTGTTTGGAGCCAACCTCTTTCCAGTCGCGCATGGTTCAGGTTTGGGTGGCTGGACTCACCTAGACAAATGTTCGCAGATTTGTGTCGTCATAGCCTTCCTTAGCTTTATGTATTTTCACCCAGAGTCACTATTCAGACCTCTTAGAGATAGGCTGTAGCCAGCCTCCCACCCAAAGCTCTGTGGAACTTATAAGTCCTTGAGGAACATGCTTTTAAAATCTTTCGAGCGCCTTTTTAAGCCCAGCACTTGGGAAGCAGAGGCAGGTGGATCTCTGTGAGTTCAAGGCCAGTCAGCCTGGTATACACAGGAAATGCCAAGACTACACAAAGAAACCCTGTCTCGAAAAAACTCACTCACTTTCACACACACACTCACACACTCATTCACACACACACTCACACGCATACACACTCTCACTCACTCACTCACACACTCACTCACACACACTTTTTAAAGTTGGGCTGTACTGAAAAGCAGCCTTGTGTAGTTTGAGTGGAATCCTGGGAGGATGTGAGGCTAGCTGGAGGGCAATCTAAAGTTCAAATCCCAGCTTTTCCCTGACTTAAGGCTGGGCGAGCTTGGGGCCCACGGAGCCTGCAGACTGGAACTGGCGCACTCTGTTGCAGGTAGAGGTGCACCCACCTCGCGTGAAGCAGCTCCTGGCCCTGTGCGGCGGCGCTTTCTCCCGGCAGCAGCTGTGCAACCTTGAGTGCATCGTGTTACACAAGCTGCACTTCAGCTTGGGTGCGCCCACCATCAACTTCTTCCTGGAGCACTTCACTCACGTTCGAGTGGAGGCGGGGCAGGCTGAGGTCATTGGAGCCTTAGAGGCTCAAACCCTGGCTCGGGGAGTGGCGGAGCTGAGCCTGGCCGACTACGCCTTCACTAACTACACACCTTCCCTACTGGCCATCTGCTGCCTGGCACTGGCTGATCGCATGCTGCAGCTCCCTCAGCCGCTGGACCTTCGCCTGGGAGAGCACCCGGAGGCCGCACTGCAAGACTGCCTAGGCAAGCTGCAGCTGCTCGTGTCCATCAACAGGACCTCTCTGACGCACATGCTGCCTCCCCAGATCTGGGAGAAGTGCAGCCTGCCCCAGAGTTGGAAATAAAAAGCACACCCTTGAGTTTCTTTTATCCCCTATGCCTTCAGGAGAGTGTACAGTATCAATCCGAAGAGAGGCTCAGGACTCCTGCTTGTAAATAGTGTACAATAACGGAATATTTATTTTGCAGTACACAAAGGGCAAGATGACAGCCGGGGAGCTGCTGTTGTCAGGCCCTGCCCTTCTGCAGGTGACGCCAAGCAAGGGGTTGTGGACTTCAGGGTCTGTCCTGGGCTCCCCCAACATTTTTTCACTCTGTGGTTAGCAGCTCCGTGAAAACAATCCAGCATGATTTTATCTGCCACTGTTTCAGCAATCTGTATCTTAACCCCCTCCAGTTCGGAGGCCGAGCCCCCTCCCCCCCGTGCAGTGGCCCAAGGAGCGTGAGACAGAGTTAGAAGTCATTGTAGTCTGTGTTGTCCAGATGGACAGTGCCTGCTACTCATTGACCTGGGAAACTTTGGGGACCATGTAGGCATGCTAGCAGTGCGCAAGACAAAAGCCAACCCCTGGTGCACCCCAAGAGACGAAAGTTTTTGCATACCCTGACAGCTGTTGCAACCTGGGCCATTTCCCTGCAGTTACATGCGTGGCTCAGTTCACTGCTGCACCCACCCAGGGTAACAATGGAGTGATAGTAATAAAGGATATACTGACTACTTGCAACTTACCCTGTATGTGTTTGACTTTTATTTCACTCAACAATGCTACTAGCAGTCTTGACTCGCTTTCCAGACACTGGGACACAGGACTCAAAGGCAATGTGGTCCATGAGTCTTACCCTGAGCCACACTGCTAAGCTTCTCCTGTTCGAGCTTCTGGAAATTCTTCTAAAGCCTTCTTTCTGTGGAAGGTACTCATTCTCTATTTAGTCCTCCTGGACTCTGCAAAGCAGCACTGTTTTGTCTTTTTGCTTCTGGCCTTGTTACAGGACTCGGCTTTCAGATGGGAGACTTGGTTGGGAAATGGGAAGCTTCCTGGGCTGCTGTGGTGCAGATTGTTGTCACACTCCTCAGACATTGCCATTTATCAGCTGTAGGCTCCACCACCTGCAGCAAATTCAACTTCCTCGAAGGCCACAGTGGAGGGGGGTGTGTGAGGCTGAGATGCTCTGTGTGTGGTGGTGGGGTAGAAGAGTGATTAAATGAACAGCTGTGTGAAATGATCACTCCTAGCACAGAGTCTCCAAGAGACAAACAGTGGTAGTCTGCTCAGGGCTGGGAGAAATTATGCAGGAAAACAAAGTAAATGAATTAGGGTGAACATATGGTTGGTTGCATTGTGGGTTCTTTTTCGGAGTTTTTATTTGTATGATTGAAAACTTAAGTTTTGGGTAAGAAATTCCACTTTGTACCTCTGCATTTAGAATAAGTCAATGATGAATAAAATGAAAAGTCCAAAATTTAGAGCCTTTGCATTCCTCCACCACAGTCCTCTGGGAGTTGGGTCCCACCTCTCTGGGTATGCTGAACTGCCTAGAGCTCTCTCCTTGGGAGGGAGGAGCTGCAGTTTCACGGTACAGGAGGGGATGAGGCCCCAGCCACCTGTTAACTCTTAGCCATCTGGCGCACTTAGCTGAGGTGACAAGGAGACCCTAGAGGTCTGGCCCTCCCGGGAAGCAGTGGCTTTGGGGTTGGCAGCATCATGTCACTAGAGTCTAAGAGTCCAACCCCCTCTGACATTTCCATGCTGTCTCCTAAATTCTCCAGAACTAGGGAACAGAGCCAGGGACAGGTGATGGGAAATTTAGTAGAAAAGGTGGCTTTGGAAAAAGAAACAAAACAAAATCCTAACTTATCTAAGCACTAGCTACCGGGCACACACAAAACCGACTCCTCTTCCCAACTCTGCTGAGGCGGGAGTCTGTTTTTCTTAAAGGCGCATCTGGTCTGGAAGAGTCTAATCCACATCCTTGTGCGTTCTCACACTGAAGCCAAGGCTTCCTCCCCACCCCCACAACTCCACCGTCTCAGATACACACCTCAACTCAGCCTCTGTAAACACAGATGTTCTACAGTTTCCTCGCCGCTATCCACCACTGCTGGGCACATCTTGATTCTTAATTCGGCTAATGGGTGCAAATGAAAGCTAGAAAGGTACGATTAAATGCCTATTTCTGGTGCTTGCTTACATTGAACTGATCTGGGTGGTCCTGGAAAAGGTCCCCTCACCCAAAGGTCAAAGATGCCTATTCTAAGCTATGCCTCTTTCTAGTAGACTCAAATTCTGGAAGATGTTTCTTCCAGGGAGAGGGCTGACTTTAGATCCGTGAAGGTTCATGCCGAGGCCAGCTGTAAAGAGGACGGACAGATGTAGGACAGCCAGCGGCCACGAGGGTCGGGGGATTTGGAAATGCCCACAGTAGAGGTTTTCAGGGACCGAAGTCAATGCCACTTTTTTCTTTTCTTCCTTTCTCTTCTTCCCCCCCCCCCCCCCCCCCGGCAGGCTTTTAGCTCGGGTTGACCTATGAGTCAGTGTGTAGCCCAAGCTACTCTCAAACTCGCGGTCATCCCCCTGCCGCAGCACTGGCACTTTCCTTGATCCTTAAAAATATGCTTAGGCGCCATTCCCCGGGGGGGGGGGATGCCAGGATCTAGTCTAGAGCGGAGCTCTTGACAGTGGGCAACAACGAGCGATTGGAGGGCAGTTTCTGTTGTCTGGAGGCTGGCCTGGGAAGGCCCTCCAGAACCTGCTGGGGAATTTTCTTAGTCCGCCTTTGGCGATCGTCACCAGTCGTTTTTTGTGTCTGGGGTGGTAAGAAAACTCCCTGCCGTTCATGAACTTGGAAGGCTAGGGGCCGGTCCCCTCCCCCACCCTCCCCCCTTCGCCTGGCACAGTCAGGATGTCGCGGCGCCAAAGGGCGCTGGCGGGCCTGGCCCGCGCTCGCGCGCTCGCTCGCAGCTCCCGGGGGAAGCCGGGTGGCCAGGTTGGTTAACGCCTCCGGCCGCGCGCAGATCGTCCCGGGCTGAAGGCGCCACCTCCGGCGCTCAGGCGCGAGCCGCCCCTCCCTCCCTCCCTCCCTCCCTCCGGCGCAGCGCTGTCCTCGAGGCCCTCCCTCCGCTCCTGGCACGCGCGCGCCGTCCCCGTCTCAGGCCCCGGCAGGTGCAGCAGCGCCGGGTGTGGGTCGCCAGCCCAGGATGCAGGCGTGCGAGGGCGGCGCAGCCGGGCGCCGGGCCTTCGACAGCATCTGCCCCAACAGGATGCTGGACCTGTCGCGGCGGCCCCTGGGCAAGCCCGGGAGGCCGGACAGGAAGGTGGGGATGCTCTGCGGCCCTGGCCCCGCGCAGTCTGCCAGCTGCGCGCGGACGCTGACCTCAGCCCCCCGTTTCTGTGCCGCTAGCTCGTCCCTCCGTGGAAGTCCTTCTCGGCATGCGGCGGCGACAGCCCGGTGTCGGTGTTCGAGGATCGCCCTGACTCGGAGCCTGCCGCGCTGCCAGGTGAGCCCCGAGCCACCTGCACGACCCCTCCATTATCCATGCCGGGTGGGTGCGGCACACGGGGACCGCAGCCCCTGTCCCCCCGGGCTCCGAGGTCCTGGCAGAGAAGCTTAGCGCTCGCTGGGCGCGTGTCTCCCGGTCTCCCCGCGCAGCCCTCAGCACCATAGACCTGCAGGACCTCGCAGACTGCACCTCGCTACTTGGCCCCGAAGCGCCGCCTAGTGGTGATTCTTCCGCCTCGCAGGTACTCTTTCCCGTGCTTGGGGCTTGGCCACTCGCAGATCCGACAGCAAGCAGTGGGTTTATTTCCTCAAAGGTCTCAAGATGGACTGGGGACGCAGGCACATTCGCATATTGCGGGGCGCCAAGCACCCCAGGTCCCAATTTTCTCCTTCCTCCTAGTGTGTGATTAAGTTCAGCGCCGGTCTGGACAACTTTCTCTGCAGGGCTCCTTTGCCATTCTACTAACAAGGCAGTCCGGAACCGGTGGGCGGAGGAACCACAGAATAACTGTCGCTTGTCACCCACTTCGGGCCCCTCAGGAACCATTTACATTTCGTGGGTGTTAAAGGAGTGTCGAAGTCACAGGGGAAAAGGACAAAGAACTCAATAAACAAGCGGGTGAAAACATTCTGTCTGCAGAAACGGACATGTGGCAGCTGGTGCCCAACATTCTAGTCCCTTGCCGTCTTGGGGAAGAGAGATTTTTCCCTCCTTTCACCCGGGCTTGCAGAGAGGTCGCTGCACAGGTACAGGGGGTGCCCAGAAACAGACTCTTAAGACAGGTGACCTTAAGATTAAGGGACTGAAGGCAGCAAGTGACCACTACCCTGCAATACCTGCTTGATTCTTTCTAGTTCTGATGCTGAAATAAAGAAAGGCAACCCTGGGGCCCGCCCTTTTACCTGACCCAGAGTCTTCAATGTCCAAAGGTGCTGCGGTCATATGTTCCCATTTCCCCCCCCCCATGAGGGAATCTGTTACTTTGAAAATAGGGTCAGAAAAAAGGTTAGAGTCAGGGTAATAAGTTTCGATTCCCCTAAATATATGGAAAGAAGGGCTTTAGGGAGAACAACACGATTAATACAAAGATAAGAGTCAATCGTGGAATTGGTAGACATTTCTGGTGGGTGTCCCTTCCCCCATTCTAACACTGGCCTCCAGGGAAGCCTGACATCAAACAGGAATGGCTCTGCCAGCCTGGTCACTAGGCCTTGGCAATTCTTTTCCAGGATTCCCTCTCAGAAGGAACAGGAAGAAGCCACTTGTGGACCCTGATACTTTCCAACTGGTGGGAGGGCCCACTAAGAGATTATGTAAATAGGAAACGGTGGTTGACTTGAAATGTCCATCCCTTAAGAGAATAGGAAGATGCCCCCCCACACACAGCCTTTTACCATTTCCTTCTGTCTCGGGGACCTGGGAATCCTGGTCAGGCATCATGGAGGTGTATCCCACCATAGGTGAAAAGCAAACTCCAATTTTCAAAGAGACAAAAAACAAACAAAACAACAACCCAACAACCACACACACACACACACACACACACACACACGCACGCACGCACGCGCATACACGCACACACACATGCACCGCCATCACCACCACCATGGCTGTCACAGTCCTTTAAACAGACACCTTTCCATAGTCCCCCTGGCCCCTTGGCCACAGCCCCACCCTCCCTGTTCCTTGTGTGGCTAACGTGGCTGACACTTTAAGCCTACACTTCGGAGGACTTGGTGTCTGTGCTGGTGTTAAGTCCAAGCTCTCTGCTCTTAGAGGTAAGGGTGGGCGTGGTTTAAGATGGAGTTGCACACAAAGCATATGGAAAGGAGTCAGCATGGCTACCGAGTACCCGCCTGTGAGGATGCCCAGCTGGGCTGGTGGGGGACGGACTGCTGAGCCTGTGGTATTTGAGGCTTGCAGGAGCAGAGCTCACACTTGTCAGCGGAAAGGAAACCTACTGTTCTGTGGGGGAGACAAAGCTTAAATGTTCTGCTTGTGGACCAGAGTGCAGACTAACCTTAGAACCTTCAAGGACATCTGTCTGTCTAGAATTGTTCTCTGAAGCCCAGACTCAGTGTGACGGGCTCACACTGTTGCTTTGTTCTAGAAGCACTCTTTGCAAACTGAAGAAGAATTCAACCTGCAGAATTTCAGAGACACCGTGGATGATCTCATTGCAGGCAAGTGCCGTTAAATGACAGTAGGGTTATCACCTACCAAAATCATATACTTCAGGTTCTGTCGTTGTCACAATCTGTCACTGGCCAGCCCCTCTTTAGTCAAGGGGTTGGACTATCCCTAATTGAGGATATCCTCTCCCTGCAGTGGGGAAACGATGTCACTGTGGTCTTTAGGCTGTGTGTTTCTCGGTGTGGGTTCTGGGGATGAGGTGGGACAGAAGTTAAATAACATGGGTCTAGAGAGGGACAAAACCGTGTGTGGCTCCCAGGCCCCAAGAAGTTTGTCCGATTCCTTTCAGAATAGCTCAGCAGTTGTGTATGAACAACAGATGGAGACAGACCAGGGATCATAGGCTTTGGATTATAAAGAAAAATTCATACAAACACAATGTCTGGGTGGCATCTTGCCTCTGTGGCTAGTTGGGCACAACCTGGAGGCAGCCAATCCAGCTCTTGCTTTCTCCCAGACTCATCCTTTGACTTCACCTCTCCTGACAGACGGTGACTTTCCCTTTTCCCCTTGCGACATTTCGTCTCTGGGGTCCTGCCTCTCCCCATCGCTGGACCCACCTGCCCTGGGGTCTCCGCAGCCTTTGCCCCCACCGCCCTGTGCTCCAGACCTGCCGCCACCGCCAACTGAGCAGTACTGGAAGGAGGTGGCCGACCAGAATCAGAGGGCTCTGGGAACTGCTCTCATAGAGAATAACCAAGTGAGGACACTGGTGGCAGGGCTCTCGGGGTGGGGACAAGACCTGCTCTACTGCACAGCTGGGAGTTGTAAGGGTTGGGGTGCACTTGTGTGGCCCAGTGGTCCTGGAAGACAGTATTGTTCCAGTGACCCAAACTGGGCCTGAACTCGCTACATCGAGACGTTGCACCCACCAGGCTTTCTTTTCTCGTTCTTTTCCGTTTCCTTTTCCTCCTCATCCGCTTTCTTTTCTTTTAGGGTCAGGGTCTCCTGCCTCCCAGGCTGGACTCTAACCCCCTATATAGAGGAGGGTGACCTTGAACTCCCGATCCTCCAGACATGCATCGACTTTTCCAGTTTCCGGAGTACTGGGAGGATCTAAACCAGGGCCTCATGTGTAAATATCCAGCACACAGAGCTCACATTCCCAACCCCTTCTTTTTGTTGAACTTACCATGTAGCACACACAGCCTCGCCTGATTCTCCTGCCTCAGTTTCCCCGTGCTGGGATTAGAGGTGTACATCACTTCTCAGAGTTCCCACCAGACTGGTAATAGTACTAACAATATTTACGGAAAGTCTCCCATGTGCCCAGCTCTATGCTTATCAGCTTACTTTCTTCTCTCATTTAGTACAACACAGATGCTAGACAACCTCACTAGCCCCATTTTATAGATAAACAAACTGAGACTTATGGTGGTTGAACTTCAGAAGGAGAACCTAGACAGGCCTGTTGTCCAAATCAGTACTTGACTATCACCAACAACACACCAATGTTTTTTTTCTTTTTAAAAAATTATTTTTCATTTTACATACCAACCCCAGTTCCCCTCCCCCTTATCCCATTCCCAGCCCCCTCCCCATCCCCCATCCACTCCTCAGAGGGGGTAAGGCCTCCCTTGGGGAGTCAGCAAAGTCTGGGATACCAAGTTGAGGCAGGGCCAAGCTCTCCCCGCTGTATCAAGGTTGAGCAAGGTGTCCCAGCATAGGGAATGGGCTCCAAAAAGCCAGTTGGTGCACCCTGGATAGGTCCGGTCCACTGCCAGCCCCTAGCCCCCAAGATCAAGCTATATAACTGTCATCCACATGTTCGATCCCATGAAGGTTCCCCAGCTGTCAGCTCGGGGCAGCTAAACTTTAACTGAAATACAGTTTCTTACAACTACTTCGGTTTTTGTTGTTGTTTTGTTTTAAAGGTTTTATTTATTATGCATACAATGTTCTGCCTGCATGTACGCTTGCAGGCCAGAAGAGGGCAGCAGATCTCATTACAGATGGTTGTGAGCCACCATGTGGGTGCTGGGAATTGAACTCAGGTCTTTTGGAAGAGCAGTCTGTTTTTTAACCTCTGGGCCTTCTCTCCAGTCCAAGTTTTTTTTTTTTTTTTTTTTTAATTAAGTCAAATAATTGGCAACTGTCAGGCGAACACAGGCCCGTGGGTCCTCGGTCCTGATGCTGTGTCGGGCGGGTTCTGAGTTTAATCCCTGAAGAGTAGGCCCAGCACTGTGTCCTCTCTGATGTTAGCTGTCCCTACTGCAGCTGCACGTGACGCTGACGCAGAAACTGGAGGAGATCGCCTCGCTCAGGGAGAGGAACGTGCAGCTCAAAGAACTGGCCAGCCGGACTCGGCACCTGGCCTCGGTGCTGGACGTGAGTGGACCCGCCCGCGGGGCGCCGTCAGAGTCCGAACTGCAGCAGTGCGCCTGTGCTGTGCTGGGGCCCGGGGTGTCCCTTGTGTGGCGCGCACGCGCACGCGCACGCGGGGCTCCAGGCGAGTCCTCCTGGCTCCAGGGCTCTTGTCTTTTGCAGAAGCTGATGATCACGCAGTCCCCAGCAGAACCCTTCCAGGTCAAGGCGACGACGAAAAGGAGCCTGGAGGAGCTGTTCTGTGCTGCGGGGCAGGAAGGGCAGGGCTGCTCGGAAGTGGACGCCATCCTCAGGGACATCTCCCAGCGCTGCGACGAAGCCTTGCAGAACCGCGACCCGAAGCGGCCCCGGCTGCAGCAAGAGCCCAGGAACTTGCACGGCGCCTTCCGAGGGCTGCGCACCCACTGCAGCGCCAGCTCGCTGAACCCGGGTCATGGTGAGCTGGAGGAGGGCGGCTCCTTCAGCACGTCCATCCGCAGCCACAGCACCATCCGAACTCTCGCCTTCCCCCAAGGCAAAGCCTTCACCATCCGGACTGTCACCGGGGGTTACAAATTCCGCTGGGTCCCCAGCTGAGCAGGGGAGCGGTTCCGCTAAATCACTGCCCCCATCTCCAGACGGAAGCCAGCATCTGCGAGCCAGTGGGAACAGCTAGAACTGTTTCCCACAGCTGGTTTCCAGAAGTCTCTGCAAGTAAATGCCATTCTAAAAATATTTTTTTTCAGGAACAAAAATGTTCCTGAACCGGTGATACCTGTGCACTGTGCACGGAAGAGGTCTGCCCCTGAGCACCGTCTGCTCCTTACCGTTTCTCAGTGAAGTTGTGTTGCGAGTGTGTACACGAATGCACATTGCTACAATACACACACACCGCAGTCCAGCTTAGAGGTATTTGTTTCCTAGCGCTCTGAGTTTTACTTGTTTGAGATAGGTGTCTCATAGCCCAGGCTGACCCTCAGGCTTTGAACCCGGGTCCTCCTGCTCACACCTCCTGAGCACTGGGATCACAGGTATTCACCACCACACTTGGCTAATTTTACCTGTGTTCTAAAGTGGTGGAATGCGCCAGATTTGTAAGATGGGAGAATAGGGCAAAGAAAAGATTTCCCCTACTAAAGGGTTTTCCTGGACTCATCCAATCCAGTCACTTAAGGATTCCAAGCCCAGAAGCCTGATATCTAGATGAGGGTTTCAACATATCTTACTCAATTTCCCTGTCTTTGGAGTGAGCCTGTGTCACTACTGAAACATTTTATTTCAGTTGAAGAAAAGAGAGAACAGGTAAGGCTACACAATCAGGTAAATGCTGATGCAGAACAGAGATACCAAACACGTTTGTTTAAGTAATCATTCCCCATACTTTGGTAAGATGTGTAACAGTTGGCTCTGCAGTTTACAGGGCTGCTCTTACAGAGAGCTGGAGTTCAGTTCCCAGCATTCATTTCGGTGGTTCCAGTCCCAGGGGATCTGACAAACTCTTCTGGAGTTCTGTGGGCCCCTAGGACAGACTCTCTCTCTCTCACACACACACACACACACACACACACACACACAAGAAAATTCCCCTTTCCCTTTTGTGGGTACCTGAACACTTCTGGGACACACACACAACACATACACACAGAGACAGGCAGATAAATAAAATGATTTTTTAAAGATTTATATGGCAATGTCTCCATGCATCCAGTTTTATCAGTGCAAACAGAACAGCCGCAGCCAAACAGAACTTAGTTAAGAAGAAAGGGCGTTTTTGTTTGTTTATTTGTTTTCTTAATGTTAGTAATTTTTTTCTCCTGTGTTCATTTGTGTTTTGCCTGCATGTATGCCTGTGTGAGGATGTTAGAAGCCCTGGGACTGGAGTTACAGACAGTTATGACTGCCCTGTGGGTGCTGGGATTTGAACCCAGATCCTCTGGAAGAATAGTCAGCGCTCTTAACTGCCCAGCCATCTCTCCAGCCCGAAATGATTACACTACACAAACTGGGCCGCTCACTTGCCCTATCTGGCTGCATCTCCTAGCAAAATTTAGGGAGCTTGGCTTTGAGCCTCCTCTTCCTATTGTCTTTAGTTCCTTCTCCCACTTTGTTCTGAAATGACATGAATAGCATATGTCACATGTGACTCTCACCCTGAGGTCCCCCGGCCCCTGGGCTCAGCTTGGGCAAGCCTCCAGACACAGTGCACTCAGTGAGAGCTGCCTTCAATCTGAGTGGGTATCGGGCAGCAGGTGGGTGGGTGAAGGCGGCGGGACCCGCGCCTCCAGTCTGTCCTGTGTCCTGTTATCAGTATTTAAACAGCCATTTGGAAACAAAAAATGGATAGAATAGACCACATTTCCTCATGTTTTGTCTAACAACCGGACTGGAAGAGAGGGCTATTCAAGTTTCTGCCTCCAACCCCCACCATGGACTCACAGACCAGGGTCATAAAAACCACAACAACAACAACGAAGCCAAAATGAAATAAAAAACTCTTTAACCCTATCGTGATCAACAACAGCCTTCTCACACTGAATTACCTTCAATCGTGATCAACAACAGCCTTCTCATACTGAATTACCTTCAATCGTGATCAACAACAGCCTTCTCACACTGAATTACCTTCAGTGACCACTAACTGTAGAATGTATTTGTACGTTTCGTTTCTCTCTTGTGCCTAGATTTTAAATAATCATAGTGCTATTGACTCTCATACTGTGGTTCTATAGCACAATGCTAGTGACCAGCAAGTTCATACATGTACACAGTGTATTTGATCATATTCACCCTTTTCCTCCCCCAACTCCTTCCAGGCCCAGCCCCATCCCCTACTCCATCTTGACTTCCCATGCCCTCTTCTTCTTCTTCTGTACAACAACACACCCAGTCCAGGCATCCTTCAGCTTTGATGGGAAATCGCTCTCTTTTGAACTAATGGCACAAAAGACCAACTTTGCGTAAGTTCATAGTAGAGTCTAAAAACTAGATTCTTTCCTCTATCGTATATGTCGAAAATTGATGGGAATCTCTTTGCCACAAATTCAAAGAAAACAGTCGAAAACGGAATATGTAATCTCTTTTCTGGGAAGAGGTAGCTGACAGGAAACACTTATTTAAGCGCTTTGAGGAAAATGAAGGAGGGTGAAGAGGAGAAAGTCTTTCTTGGCTTGGGCTACATACGAGACCGGCAGGGAGCGTAAGCAACAGATATTTATTTCTCACAGTTTGGGCCCTGAAAGTCTGAAATCAAGGTGGTGGCTCCTAAGTTCCCTCTCATTGGTTTGCCTACCCCATTTGTTGCTGGAAAGATGATGTGGTTGGGAGAGTTCAGGTCTCTTCTTAAAGAGTTCTAACCCTATCACTGATGTTGCAACCTGTAGGTGTCTTTGGAATCTACCCCGCCCCCAAATACAATCAGTTTGGGAGCTAGGACTCGCTTAAACAGAGGAGTCTGGAGGAGACACAGGCTCAGTTTATAGCAGATGGTGACTTTGGGGGAAGCAGGAGGTAGCTGGTTTAGATGAAGTGGTCTGGTCAGGAAAGGTCACTGTGATAGGTAACGTTTGAGGGATTGGGGTGTGGGTCAGCTGGTATAGAACTTGCCTGGCATGCACGAGGCCCAGGATTTGATCCCCTGCATCTGCCAAAACAAACAAACAAACAAACAACACACAAACAAACTACATGACAAGAGAATTTGAACAGGCCGGAGGAGCTTGAGCATGAGCACATGAGCATTATGGCTATGTGGGTGAAGTGTAGCCTAGGCAGAAGGAAGAGGAAAGGGAAGAGGAGCCTGGCTTGGTGGGCAATAAGGGTGTTAGTGGGACTGAGGCTGAGTGAACTCGGGGGTAGGCACTGAGCGGGGGGGGGGGGGTCACCAGGACCTTTCTAGATGTTGTGAAGACATGTCATCCAGAGTGACATGGAAACCTGTCAGGGGGTTTTCTCATCAGCTTCATTTCCTCACAGGGGTGGAGGAGGTCAACCCCTTTCCTGCATGGAGGGAAGTATTCACTGAGCTATGAAACTAATTTGTTCTTTGAGACAGGGTTTCTCTCTGTAGCTCTGTAGACCAGGCTGACCTCGAACTCACAGAGCTCCACCTGCCTCTGCCTCCCGAGTACTGGGATTAAAGGCGTGTGCCACCACTGCCCAGCTGACTCAACCATTCTTAAGAAGATGTGTATCCATCCTTTACACAGATACCTGTTCAAACCTGTGTAGGTAGCAACAATTTCCAATATTGACTTTGAAGTTGCATAACCAGATACTAGGTAAATCAGATATGACAACTAATTGTGATTACGTGTGTACCGGAAAAAGAAATCCATAGACTTGCTCAGGGTTTATGTAAATAGCCAAGGAAGAAGTAGAAACTGCCCTTAGTTATAGGATGTGGAAACTTCAACTATTTCTAGGACTTCCATGGTTGAAAGTAAATACAGATGGATACCTAGTTCTGTGAGAGGTCAGAATAGCAGGCAATCTTACTGTTATTAGCAGCCACCCTTTTATTCCAGTCTTTTGGCTCTGGGAAACCACTAGTCGATTTTCTGTCTCTACAGATTTGCCGACTTTTAATATGTACTAGAGATCATATCGTACAATGTGTGGGCTTCTGAGGCTGTCTTCTTTCAAGTACCATGATGTTTTCAAACTCCATCCTTGTGTCCTCCCTTGTTTGTGGGCACATGTGAGTGTGCATGCGTGTGAGGCCCCGTGTGGGCTCTTCCGCAGTAGCTCTCCACTTTATGCACTGAGGCAGAGTCTCTCGACTGAACACAGAGGTTGCCAATTCTACCAGTCTAGCTAGCCAGCTGGCTCCAGAGGTCCCTGTCATTGTCTCCTGGTTTATGCCTGCCTGGCCTTTTCCTGTTCTCGTACTTGCGAGGTTGTTCAAAGGGCCATCTATCTGTTCAGCTCTATTTCTTTCTTTTTTTTTAATCACACTTAACATTATTTTTATGGTGAAAATATTTTAGATTCTTGTCAAATGCTTTTTTTCCTATGAGATAATGGTCATTTTTCCCTTTTGTGCTATTATTGTTACCTTGTCGGATCCTCCCAGAGATTCTTCATGCAAGCCAAGCCAATGAGAAATTCTATTTTATCTTTTTAGAAGGTTACACCTAGGACTGAGGGGCTGAGAGGTCTGTGGCCATTTTGATGAGTCTAAGATCCACAGCTTGGTAACATAGAACGCGGGCGGTAAGCACCATTTCGGAATGGGATTGTGGTGCAGTGTTTCAGGTCCTGGCCAGCAGTGGGCAGAGCCCTGACGCTTAGAACTATATGTGCTTGAGGGAAGCAAGTGAAGTCTTCCACGCATATGCACAGTTGGTTTGTGGGGTGTGGGATGACGGAGGCCAGGGTATGGGCAATTAGTTGACCTGCAGCCTTACTCCTTCCCTGTTTTAGGGGCTGAGTGGCAAAGTGTTGGTGCTTGGATGAAATAATTGGTCCCCCCCCCAATAAATTGAAAGCCCTGGGGGACAATCAATAGCAGCTCCTGTCCATACCACAAGACACGCCCGCGCTGTAAAAGGTGTCCTAAATACAAGGGGGTTTCCAAGAGTCAGAGGCATCATGATAAT